CCATTTCTGCCGTTAAACAATAATATGTGTGCATCACATTGCTGTGGCGTTCCGGTTTCAAAGGTAAGAGAATCAAGCTTAATTACAGGTTTTAAGGTATCATATTAATATTATCCCTTAGTAATCACCCGTAGAAACAGTTATTTCTAATTGTTTTTTCATTTTCATAAATGTTTAGAGAAAGGAATGACATATAAATTATATTGATCAGTGTCATGCCATTAGTTAACAAACATAAAAAATTTAAATTTATTTTAATGCTAAAACCAACACTACCATGACGAAAACTTACACCACTACACACACTTACAAACTAAAGAAATACAAGGATATGCTTACATTACAAAAAAATGAGATAAATACAATGACTAACTGAAATCTCTTTATATACATTTAAGATTTTAAAGAGAAATTCACGGTCTACTTCAACAGAAATCAGTAACAACTCCAGTTCTTTTTTCACATTCAAACAATACCTATTTGAGATACTTAAGTATTTGACGCTGGTATTCTGTGAAAACCTAGTCCTTTCCCGGTCTAATCGCCGTATTCGTACCTACCACAGCTATTTTAATCATCAGAAATATCGGAATATTTATAAAATATTTAAAATTCGCGAGGGTTGTTTTAAAGATTCGTGTCGTGATATTATTAGGATATAATATAATAATAAATTAACATTTATTTTCACAAACTTTCACGAGGGTCTGCAAACAGAAACGCCAATTGTGTAATGAAGAATCATACAATCTGTCTATAACCATTTTTTACATGGTAGAGCCATGCTGCAGTTATATTGTGGTTGCATCACGGCTCATCCGGGTCCGGGGTGGGACCACGCTCTCACAGAATACCAGCGTAAAATAGCAGCTTAATGCTCCTGTGTTTCGCATGGTGAGTGTAGAGAACCGTAGACCCCTTTTACTGGAAACAAGGCATTCCAACTCAGTCCTCAGGGGTGACAACGCATGTGTATTTTTAATCCTAATTGAGGATAAATGTAGATTTCTATAGGCCACAGCATCCACTTACTATCAGGTGGACTGCGTTCATCACCCTTATTCTAAAAAAAAAACAAATACACGGATTTTATGGTCTGTGGTATTAAGTTATGTATTTCTCTACCACAATGCTCTCCTTTTCCTTTGTCTGCCACCATTAGATTTTTTCAGTAGGTACTAGTACTACTAGTACTTAGTAGGTATATATCTTTGAATGATCACATCATTTCATTGGCTTTATCCTCCCTTAGTCTACGTTAAAAAAATCAAAACTAGAAGCATTCACTTTACTATTAACCAGCCCCAACAATTCGCTAATAATAAACCAATTTTAGTTTCTAAAGTAGTCTCCAGCTCTGATAAAGTAGCTAAACATAAATTACGTTAAACGAATAAAATTGTAACGTTAAGAGGCTGAAACTGACTATAAATTAGTTTCCATAATAGGCCGAACACGGAAGTGGGCCCAATAGACAAATGTGTGCGCTTGTGCCGACGATTGTAGAGAAGGAAAATGCGACAAGATGGCGCCGGTCTGTCTGGCGCCATGGCTTTTCATGCGAATGAAATAAAAATGTCGTAAGTGCCTCTTTATATTTCAGATCTAATACACCTTAACTGTGATACCTAAAGTTTTATTTTATTAAACATTTGTTTCCTAAGCTAGTATTGACTTTTTCGTGTAATAGTTATGCGTTTTTGGATGCCGCTTTCCCTATTGGCACTCGATCTTTGACTATAAATGGTAAAGCTTAAAGTTTATTCCTGAATGTTTTTCAGTAATGACATAAATTTTTGTTGGTGAATAGTCTGGGTGGCGCCGAAGGGCTCTTAAATATATTTGTTGCATCGTGAGCCCTAAACCAAAGATATAAAGTACATTTTCTTACCTTTTCTAATGAAATCACTTTAACGAGAAGAAATATGACTGAAATTTACTCGACGTTCATAAAGTAAATAGCCTATGTATTAAAAGAGGCAATGTTCTTAAAAGTTGGACCGTAAATTTCATTTTTATCTAGTTACATATATCTCATCCATTTTATACTTAGAATTTCTTAAGGCAGGCAAGATGGTTATTTTTCTCAGTTTGAATAACATTTTAACTAAGTGAAAATAGAATAATATATTTAGTTATAAAATTAATAAGAAACAAGTTCTGAAAATGTAATAACTGATAATAGCAACTGCCGATCATAGATTTCCATTTCCCCCATAGATTGCCACAAAATTTGGTCCTGTGCAGTGGCGGATTAAAACGTTGACGCCGTACGCTAGCACCTTATCGGCGCCCTTCTGGTGGTCGTATATTATAAATTATAATTACTTACTTAATAACTAGCTGGACCAGGACACATGTAGGATACCCTTAACCAGTGGACGTGAATAAAAAATATGATGACCGTAAGGGCGATATAGGAGTAATCAAGAAGAGGGGGCACGTCGGAACTCTACATCTCTATAGGAAGTATTATTTTATGTTTTAGATATGTGGGTACTTAGTTCTATATTTTTTTGTTTAAAACCTCCGTGCGCGCCCCTTTGTAACATGGCGCTCATAGGCACGTGCCTAGTTTGCCAAAGGATAATCCACCATGACCCTGGACCACCTGCATCCATAAACACACTGCATGTTTTATCATGTTGTCACTTCATCCAGTTGTCGATTTGTCAAGCTATGTGGCCTGATCAGCCTCTGCCTCTTTAACCTATTAATCCATTTAATCAGCTACAAATCTAACACCCAGTAAATTTCTCAGTCTATATTACAAGAAGTTTGGAGTTTCTCAGCTTTTGTCATGATTTTCTATGGTTCAAGAAAAACTATTCCTTCTAATGTGCTGTGTAAAACTCCTCTACAATTTATTTTAAATCTTTCTCTGTTCTTGGAGGAAAACTTTGGAAATCTTTACGTCTGTCGATTAAACGTGCTAAAACTTTTCGTTTGTTTAAGAAACAGGTATTTGTGTTTCGAATACATTTCCTTTCTCGTTTTATTTATGGTGACTGATTTTTATTGTTTGTTATTATAGTACACTCTACACATTAATCTTTCTCATCCTTTTTAATTCTTTTTTGAGTTGTCAGTAAAAAATTCTTCGTAGCAATAAGTTTCTAGTGTGAGAGCGTGGTCCTTCCCCGTTCGAGTCGATCCAATCGTGTTACAACTATAATATAGCTGCCGGATTGCTTTACCGCTTGTAAAATGTTTTATTTTTATACAATTGAAGAAACAAACAAATTTTCACTACCAACCAAAAGTAAGTTCAAATGATTTCAGCAAATGATAATATAAGCCGTGTAGTGGCAGTGTAAGAATATCCACTACCCCATATCGACCCGTGGGTGTCGTAAGAGGCGACACAGGGAAATTGAAACGGGAGATGGGCAGCAGCATCTTCCTGATAACAATTCAAAATAATAAAAAACTGCGGTTGCCAACACTTGCCACTTGCAAAGCTTGTCAAATATGGCAAAATCCCGCCATGAGGCAATCTATGAGGAAGGCCTATGTTCGGCATTGGACTTTTATAGACTGTAATGTATGGATAAAATGAAATGATATAGGAAGGAAAATTAACTAGTGATTTCGTGTTTTCTACCGACTTCAAAAAAAAAGACGGTACTCAATTCGACTGTATGTTTTTTTATGTGTGTTACCTCATAACTTTTTACTGGGTGCACCGATTTCGATTATTCTTTTTTTATTTTAAAGCTGGTGCTTCACATGTGGTCCCGTATAAATTTGATCAAGGTCTGACTAATAGTTTTTGAGTTATTCTTAATAATTTATATTGACGTCGGTTGTACAAAATTTTTAATTTTAAATTATTATTTTAGCTATTTTGAAATGGCTTAACAAAGATACGTTCAAAAATTACGACTTATATACAATATCAAGCAGTACCTTATATTTTATTAGATTAGTGTAAATATGAAAAAAAAAATCATACCACGCGAACCAATTGGGCAAACCGAGTTCGATTCCTACTGGCAACAAAGTGTGTACAGACCTCTTCTCATTCCTGAGAGAGTTTTAGGGCAAGGAAGTGACAATCGCGCTGCCACAATGCGAGTTGGTGGACTACTGGTATACCTTCGATTTTTTTTTTTAATTCCTCACGATGTTTTACTTTATCATTCTTCATACCGAGAACGTGGTAAATCAGCACTTAAAATTGAAAACATCGTGAGACCACTTTATGCTCATCTTGTCACAATGTATATAATCGTAGATATGCATTATCTATCCATTACAGTTTATAAAAATCTGACATAGGCCTCCCTTAAAGATTTCGTCATAGGGTGGACTTGGCCAAAGTTGCTACGCGGCACGCGGACTTGAAACCGCAGTTTTTTATAATTTGGAGTTATTATCAGGAAGATGCTGCTGCCCATCTCCTGTTTCAGTTTCCCTCTGTCGTTTCTCACGACACCTACGAGATGTTACGGGGTAGTGAGTATTCTTATACAATTACTACACGGTTATAGGTACTATTATAGTACATAAATTAATAAAAAACATGGTGACTTTTGACAAATGGTTTTATTTCTTACGTCGAGAAATGGAGTATTAATTACATATCTAATTTAAATCCAAACAAAAACTCACCATCTTCTTATATGAGTGAACTCTGTATGTTTTGCAAGCATACGTGGGCCCAATGTAGTGATATCCAAAGTCAAAACAGTCATCAATCTTCATCAATGATAGAAAGGATATTAAGAATTTAAAAAAAAATGTGTTTCTAGCGTAAATAATCTTTGTCATCGAGACCTTTTGATCGAGACTTACGCAGTGATTATATATTTCCTTTTTGAAGATACTTTTTGCATGTGAGATTGCCCATAGATTACTATTATTGATCACCTACGGCACGTCACTGTCATGAATATAGATATTCGTGTAGAATCTACTAGTTAGTCTGTGATAGTTTAAAATTTTGGGTATCTACACTTCTTTTCTCGTTTTTTGATTTTAAATTATTAGTTAATTCAATGTTACTTACGCAAGTTTTCTATATTCTTTTGCTTTATAAGGACTTCATGCAACATGGATCCGTACAATACCAAGTTACTGCACAGTTAGATTACGAAGACTTCGAAGACTACATCCAAGATTCTGAATATAATGTAAATAATAACTTCTTGGAAGAGAGTGAAAAAATAGGTACATAAAGGTTAATTACATGGTGGTTTTAACATCATATGTTTGCAATTATTAAAGTATACACAGCCTATACACGTCCCACTGCTGAGCACAGGCCTCCTCTCATTCGTGGGAGGGTTTTAGCGGAAATGTCCGCCGCGCTGCCCCAATGCGTGTTTGCGAACTGCACATGTCTGTGAAATATTTATTTCTTATTTCTCAGACATGCAGGTTTCCTCACAATATTTTCCTTCACCACCGAGCACGTGGTAAATCAGCACTTTAAATTGCAATTAACAATTTCATTGGTGCCAGCGGAGATCGAGTCCGTGTTGCTCGCGTAGGTACTGTGAAATTTACAGCGAGCGCTAACCATCTGAGCTACCACGGCTGTGTAATTATTATCAGATTGTAGTTAAATTAAACATTTACATTTAAACAATATTATACAACATAAACCATTACTTTTATAGACAGCAGTACAGTTGTCGAAGATAATTTTATCAACAGAGTCAAAAGATACGAAGATATTCGTGCTAAACTTCAAATCCTTAATCCAAAACAAATGATATTGATAAAAGGTTAGTAAAATAATATAAAATATACCTAATTGATTTAACGTGTACGTTATTAGAAATGCCTAATATATTATCATCATTACAGCCTTTCACAAGGCCACTGTTGAACACGGGCCTCCCCCAAGGAACACCACAAAGCACGATCCCGAGCCACCTGCATCCATTGACGTTCTGTATATCTTATCAAGTCGTCACTCCATCTAGCGGGGGAACGCCCTACACTTCGCCTGCCGGTAAGAGGCTGCCACTCGAGAATCTTTCTTCCCTATCGGTTGTCGGCTCTTCTAGCTATATGACCGGCGCATTTCAACTTCAGCTTACTAACCCTTTAGGTTATGTCGGTTACTCTAGTTCCACTGCCGATATCCTCGTTTTTAAGTTTATCATGCAGAGAAACGAAACCAAGTGACATTGAGCTTCCTCATACGGCCAGCAGTGAAGGACCACGTCTCAGATTCATAGGTCATCACTGGCAACACGCACTGGTTGTACAATCTAGTTTTGAGGTTATGAGGTGTGCCTGACGAGAAGATGTGTCGTAGTTTTCCGAACGCTGCCCAGCCGAGTTGAATCCGTCAATTGACCTCTCGGTCGAAGTTGGACTTACCTAGTCGGACTATTTGTCCCAGGTAAACATACTAGTCAACAACTTCGAGCTAAGTGCTCCCAAAAATTACCGGCATAGGTGTGACCTGTACGTTAGATATGTTGTTTGTTTTGTCCATGTTCATCTTAAGACCTATCCGTTGGGAGACACTATTGAGGTCATTCGGCATAGTGCTTAGATTTTCCAGCGAGTCTGTCATAAGGGCTATATCGTTGGCAAATCGAAGGTGAGTGATGTACTCGCCATTAACGTTAATACCGTATTCTTTTCAGTCCAGAAGCTAGAAAACGTGAAAAGTTTCGGGGATATAACGTCATCCTGTCTTACACTTCTCTGCCGTTGGATAGGTTTTGTACTCTGATTCTGTACTCGGATAGCTATCGTAACCCTACTGTACAAACACTTCAGCAGTAATGACTCTCAAAAACAGCACGTAGACGCGGCTCAGAATGGAAATCGGTCTATAGTTCTTCAAGAGAGCGTTGTTGCCTTTCTTGAAGAACAAGACCACCGCACTTCTACTCCACGCCTCTCCAGTAGTGCCACCATGGAGGACGGAATTAAAGAGCTTCTGAAGGACTTCAAGTACCGGTTTTCCACCCGCTTTCAGAAGCTCCGCTGTAATTCCATCCTCGCCTGGGGACTTACCGCTTCTAAGACTTGCTCTTGGATCGTTACTCACACTTGCGTGTGGCTCCAACGATGACTTGTACAGCTGCACATAGAAACTCTCAATCTCACTCAAAATCTCAGGTGTCCCGGAAACAATGCTGCCACATTCGGTCTTCAGCTTCGACAGTTGGCTCTTTCTCGCAGACAGATCTCTGGCAAAGACTTTTCGAGCCTTGATTACGCTCGATCGCTTCTTCAATACAAGCTGTATTGAAGTTGCGTAAGTCACGCCGCATGCATTTGGATATCTGACTGTTTAGTTGCTTGTATGCTGTCAAATCTGTTGAAGACTGCAGCTTCATCTCCCGTCTAACAGGCATGAAATTAAGAGTGTGATCGGAGAGTTTTTATGTTCGTCTGCGACGGGTCTTACAGAACTTAGCTCCCACCGCATGGACAGTTTTTACAAGCTTGTCATTCATATCGTCCACTTCATTGCAATCTTCTAGGCACTGAGAACGATTTTGAAACTCGAGCTGAATATTTTCTGGGCTTTGGATGAGAGCGCGAGGGGGACGGAGCGTTGACTTCCTTAGACGTGACCTCTCTAACTTAACGTTTAAGTTCAGTGTGCCTCTCACCATTCGGTGATCGCTGCCAGTTTTCATCCTCGCGATCACTGAGACATGTGTCATGTCATCACAGTTGTCGTCTGGTCGTCATAATGAAATCGATCTCATTTTTTGGCGAACGTCGGGGCTCGACCAGGTCCACTTTCTGTGGGGCCGCTTTTGGAAGAAAGAGTTCATCATAAATAGCCCCTCTTTCTCCATAAAGTCGACCAGCTGCTTGACCCTTGGGTTCCGTTGCCTTATACCGAATTTGCTTACTTTAAGCTCACCGTCCTCTCTTGTGCCTAGTTTTGCGTTAAAGTCTCCCATTAACACCGTATAGTGGGTTTTGGAGGAATGCATGGCTCTAGAGATATCCTCATACATTTCCTCCACCGCCTTAACGGGATGTGCCGAGGTTGGTGCTTAAACCTGTAAGATCTTCAGTGAATACCGTTTGGTGATTCTGAGAGAATCTTTACAACGTTGTTAACGACAGACTTGTGAACGATAAATCCGACACCTCCTTGAGACTGATGGTCGCCTTCCCGGTGATAGAACAAGTTACCGGATTCGAGGATCACCGTGTCCTCCCCCTCTCTTCGGACCTCGGGTAATCCTATAATATTCCAGCTTGTCTACATCTTCTTTCAGCTCCAGGATCTTCTCATCAGTCCTCAGGGTGCGTGCGTTATATGTTGCCAGGTCGAGTCATCGTAGGTGGCAACCGAACCTCCACCTGATATTCTTAGCACCCGCTAACCCGCCGTTACCATGGTCGCCACCGTAGCCAGGAATAGCTGTATGAATAAGATTCTGCTGCCCATCTTCTGCGTCGGTTTCCCTCTGTCGCCTCTTACGACACCCACGGGAAGATATGGGGTAGTGGGTATTCTTACCCGCCACTTGTTACACTTGTGTATAACCACTCAATTATAATTCATAAAATTTTTGACAAGTCTCACCATATTCTACTTTATTATTTTTGGTTTTAGATACGCTATACAATTATTTAGTCGGTCACATTAATGAAAATGACTTAAAGAGTTCGTTATCAGAAGTTTTACAAAATCATAATGATGTGTCTAATTCAGTGCGGAATAAACAACATTCAAAATATAATTTCTTTGATAGTAATGTTGATGAAGAGTTAAATTCTACCTGGATTGATATCGATTTAAAATCTGCAGAAAGTAATTATACTGGAGTTAAAACTATCTTTAAGGAGACAAAGACCATACCAGAGCTTCTAGACAACGCTACATCATTATTAATTACGAACCACACAATATGCCGTAGTGATTCTGTAACATACACAACAGTTTCTACAATTCCTGCAAATATTACCAATTTCACTGATGCAAATACGCCGTCTCCTGAAACAACAACTAGTTGCAAAGAATCAACTAATGATCTTGATGTAGGAATATTACAATTGGCAGCCAATGAACATAAACTTAAGTGTACGGAGTTTAATGATGAAGTACCAAGTACTGCACATCCAGAAAATATTAACAGGACAATAGATACATCTCTTGCAGTATCATTTCGCGAAAAACCTCTTATGAATGCTATTTCAATGGCCTATGACATAATCGAAGCTTTAAAAGTAGTACCATTGACACAGAAAAATATGACCCACTCAAATTTATTAACTAGGTCTAAAGCCGATCATACATTTAGTGAGGAAAGTGAAAGACAAGAAGAAAAAAAAGATGTGATTGACGTTTCCAAAATTGTAGATTTGATATCAAACATAAGTGATGCGAATTTGTCGCAGAATTATCGTAGATCGTCTCCAAGTTCCGCACCGTCATGTTCATACATGTACCCTCCTAATTACGGAACGTCACCTAAGAATGAGAATTACGATTACGACGCTAACTATACTGGAACACTGGTGACTAAGGTTATTTCTGCTTTTTTCTTCTATTTTTGCTTTTAATGCCCTTAATAGCTGATAAAAAGGAACGCATCGGCATCTTCAGGTGTAGTAGACTGCGGTGGCTGACCGCTAAGTAAGTGTGAGCCTCGTGTAGAGGCGAAATACGTATCGTATTATTCGTCGTTGGTGTGTCTTTCCTAGTGTAGTGGTGGTGGGAATATTGGTGTTGGGATTAGTGGTGACGGGGATAGTGCGCGCGATTGAGGGAGGGCGGGAGGTGCTTTTAAAACTAGGCAAGACTCATGATTTTATTTTATTGAGCGGATTTTGGCGAAGTAAATATTTCCAACTTTAAAACTCTTTTGTTTATATATTTTTTTAAAAGGATAGGGTGACAAACGGGCACACAGGCCACCTGATGGTAAGTGGTTACTGTGACCCATAGACATCTACATCTATCCTCAATAAAGACTCAAGATGCAGATGCGTTGTCACCCGTGAGGACTAAGATGGAATGCCTCTTTGCCAGTAAAAAGGGTCTTTTACGCTGGTTTTCTGAGAGAGCGTGGTCCTTCCCCGGTCGAGCCAGCCCATTCGTGCTACAACTATACTACTAATATAGCTACAACATGGCTCTACCACGTAAATACGTATACTGAATGTCAAATATTTCAAAGTAATTAATGCATATAAAAAGCGTTAGGTATTCAAATTAGAAGGATAGTGACACTACTCCAATAATCGGGAACAGAACCATTCATATAAATTACATCTTTAGACACATAATAAAAATTTGTTGGTATAATTAACCGATAAAATCTCATAATTATTTCTTATATTTACGCGATTACTTCATATTAAATTGAACTAGCATATAGTATATTAATAAATTACCAAAAGGGGCCAGTATTTAGGTAGCATATAAAGAAGCGCTTTTCAGATCTTGTATCACTTTAGTCGTGTCTTCGCACTGCAATGAAGCTTCAATATACTAATCGTACAAAATGTGTAGTGGTTTATACTTACGCTTAGAGTATAAAGCCGCGTCTCCACCAAAGTTTTGTTACCAACTGTTGTGTTGCCAACACGTGTTGGTAACAAATGTTTCTGTCATTACCTAGTGTTGGCAACAAAACTTGAAACAATGTCGGGAACCGTGTTTCCATTTTCGGCGGCAACATCAAAGGAGGCTTGTTGCAACGGCAACATCGGAAACAAATGTTGGTAACTTTTGTTGAGTTGTAAACATAAATGTTGTCAACATTTTTGGTGGATACGCGGCTTACGCTTATTTTAGCTTAGCTTGCTTTGCACTTAATGTAGTCGACGTAAACGCAGTTGCTGATCATGTGATCCTGGATTCCGAATGTGGGTTTTTTGTTAACAAATTCTCGATAGCGACCCGGAGTCAGGACACTGGTGTTCTCACCCCCGTGCCTCTATAGTCCCATCGGACGATGAGAATGAGGGAATAGAGAGTGCATCTGTCCTTGCACTTGGGCACAATAATCCTGTCTTGCGCAGAGGCGATTCTCCGTTGAGACCGGCTGTCGTGACCGAAATTTGGTCTCGAGGACATTATATGTATGGCTGTGACACTAAATTCTACTAAGTTACGTAAGGGTAATATGGTCACCTAAAGGTTTACCGCCCTCTAAAACCAAAACTAGGGGGAAGACAGAGACAGAAACACTAAGTCGTATACTATAACTAATATATTAAGAAAAAAAAATTGAAACAAGCTTTGTTAATAATTATGAACAATTCAAAAATCAACTTAGAAAAGAACTAACTACACTACACAATACTAAAATCGACTAAAATATTTACTATAATGTCAACTGTCAAAATGGCGTCGCTATAGCAGCGGCCTTTTGACCCTTTATTATTTCATTGACTGATGAAGCGCTATCTTATCACAGAGCCATCTATGCAAACAAGGTTGTAGTTTTTGAGTTATAAGAAAGTGACCATATTAACCGGATGAACATATTACCCTCACGTACCATACGAAGAGTGCCGACGCTTACATACCGTCGTAATCAGAACTAACCCGTAAGAAACCATTCTTATAATCATTGAACATCAACAGTGCTATGTTTGTGGATTAGAAGAGGAAAAGATTCCCCGTAGTACACTTTGTGCAGATGCTTTCTCAGACGACCAATCGTACAGGAAACATATGTACAAATTCCAGAAGTATTGCCGCTACTATGAAAACGTGTTAGTAAAAAAACATTTTTATTTTTGTTGCGGCGTAATCATTCTGTAAGAGCCTATGTAGGTCGTAGTCATTGCTTAACTCCATATAATTCCATTGGTCATTAAACTGCTTAGATCGCCCAGGAGCATGACAAACGGTCGCTTTAGTAAAACTTTGTAGTTAAATTCGTTTTAGAAGAATAAACAAACGAGCATACAACTAGTCTGATGATAAGTGAGCACTTTACAATTCACAGTGTCAAAAAAATTGTAGATGACCGTCACATTTATCTCCCCTCTTCGCTTTACCAATCACAAATCGACGCCTCTCAACGTCACACATGACAGCACACCGCACCACGTGCCACCTTTTCAATACAACCTCTTTTTCCTTTCTTAGGCTGCGTTTCCACCAGAGATGTGCGAGGATGCGTGGCGAGAGATGTGTTTGTTGAGAACCAATAGAATCACTTCATTTACCTAGCTTCACTCAGCGCAGCTTTAGTGGAAACGACTCAACGGAGCGAGGTTTTTGTACATACAAAACAAGGGAAGAATGCATGCGAGGGGTGTTGCGAAGGATGTGTGCGAGGACTGTGTGCGAGGTATGTGTTGGGAGAGATGAGTCTAGCACTCATCTCTCGCGGGCGGACACGAGCGAAAAAACACCAGTTACTAGACGGCAGCACAATACACATCCTCGGTCAGCTAATCTGCGCTCCGTTTCATAGCGTCACTACGCATCCTCGCATCGCTCAGCAGCGTAGCACATATCTGGTGGAAACGCTCACACCGTTCCACAGATTCGCTACGCATATTCGCACCGCCCAGCTACCTCGCATATCTCTGGTGGAAACGCAGCCTTACAGTTGTATGTAGTCTAGTACTTGTATGGTTTTGATTCTTTATTTTTAAATATATTTAAATTTATTTAAAAATTAACGAGGTGATCCGCAGTTGAACCAGAGTAACCGACATAGCGCAACGGATCAGTAAGTTGTAGTGGCCATGGGCCGGCCCTGTGGCTCGAAGAGTTGACAACCGATGGCCAAGAGAGGTGCTCGAGAGGCAGCCTCGTGCTAGCCTACTCCTCTCAGGACCGTTCTTTGTGGCATTCTTTGGGGGATGACAATGTTCAACAGTGGACTTGTGATGGGCTGGGCTGTTATTATGATGATGATGATGATTTTTTTTATTTGTTTATATATTTTTTATTTTAATAAAATAAGATAAATCAAATGATCGTATTGTTTTTGTATAATGAAAACAATATTTCTGTTATAAATATTTGTAGTATAAGAGTAGTATCAATCATCCTAACGATGGTTTAGAGTCAATCCATCGTCGCGTCTGGCATTATTATATACAACAAAAAAATTGCCTCAACGTAAAAAAAATATCTCCAATGTCTTTATTAGTACAAAACAAGTAGTAAAATTAAAAATTTTGTACAATCGACTTCAATATAACAACTTTGACATAAATGAAGGTGTACCGTGGTATACTGAACACATCTGCATACCCCTTTATAGGGTACAGGCGTGATATTTTGTTGTGCTTGCGTGATATGCGATAGCAGTAATCGCGATTGATTTGATGGCATTTATTGAAGACTTCCACTGTCTGTCTCCGAAATTCATCATCAGATCTTTACGAAATTTAAATGGTACCATTTCTGAATAAACCTCTTTCGGACAAAAAAAAAGAAATTTCTCAAATCAGCCTATACAAACATAATATATATATATACTAGCTGACCCGGCAAACGTTGTTTTGCCATATACATTATTTCTAGGAAATATTTATTAGTTTATAAAACGCGATTAAAAAAACAGGGTTTGATCGTAGAAGGGTGAAAATTTGAAGTTTTATTTATTTATCAATGCTAAATCATAATATATATATATATATATATATATATATATATATATATATATATATATATATATATATATATATCATGAAATAAATAATGTGTTAAAAAAATAAAGTGGTAAATAAAATAATGACTTTTAATAAGTATTATGTAATAATCCATATTGAATAAAAATCATTCTATTCTATTCTATTCTATTTTAATGAAAATAAAAAAATTGTCATTAAAGTAAAAAAATATATAGGGGTGGGTCACCCTTATCATTTAGGGGTTTGAAAAATAGACGTTGGCTATTTTTCAAACCTCTAAATATCCCGTTTTATAACGTAAATATATAATTAATAATAACTCGAAAACAGCGCTACCTATCGAGGCCAGATTTTGTGATTTTCTTTTTTTTAAACTAAACCTATAAGAATATGTTTATAATACAGGGTCACCTATCTTAGCGTAGCTATTTACCATCGTCTCGACAATACAAATACAATGTTTCAATATCACCTCAATCGGTCAAGTTAGAACTTTTTATTAACTCAAAACGTAAGTTTAATAGTGAGTATCACACAATAACAATTGTGCAAATCCGGGCTGTGTCACTACTAGGAAACTTATCTAAATTTATAAAAAAAAAAATATTGTTGCCGCTTTATACAAAATAATTTATTAGAAGTATTTTCCAAATATTTTACAATATTACAAATTATTACTTGTATAAAGCCGCAAAATTATTTTATATAGCAATGAAGAAAATATATATTTAGGTCAGAAGAAAAACATTTGATTATAACAAATCATAAAATCCCACTTCCTACAAGGCTTTATCCACATCAATACAACGTTTAAGGTCATTCACCCTAAATTGCACTAACTATTCCGATCACAAACCATTACTAACAGTCAAAAAATATTCTGATATAAATGGATATAATATATTGGTTTAGTGCAATATACATGCAATATATATCTATATAAACACTTTGTTTAACTACAGCGCCACCTATCAGGTCTTTTAGCTATAAAACATCGTCTTGAAAAACTATTGTATGAATATAATCTCAATGGAAAATACATTCAGAAGTTAAATTATCATAACAGACAATCCAACGATTTTTTTATTCGTTTTTGTTCATTACAGTTTCCAAAATACCAATGGGGCCCCCATATATCAAAACTAGCAAGCAGACTTAGTTCTGCAGCATATGCTGTAAAAAAGATTAGAAATCTTACCAGTGTTGAAACAGCTAGACTTGTCTACTTTAGCTATTTCCATAGCATAATATCATATAGTATTTTGCTATGGGGACACGCGGCTGACACTGAAATTATATTTGATTTACAGAAGAGGGCCATAAGAGCAATCTATGATTTAAAGCCTAAAGAGTCGCTGCGACAAAAATTTAAGGAAATTAATATATTAATTTTGGCCTCTCAATACATTTATGAACATGTGATGTACTCGTATGTACACAAAAATAAAAGTAGTTATACAAAAATAAGTGAATGAAAAGTTCTGTAAATACTAGGAACAGACACAAGCTAGCAGTACCAGTCAATCGACTCCACAGATTCAGTAATTCATTCCTGGGGCGATGTATAAGCTTTTCTAACAAAATCCCAGAAAATATAAAAAATTTGACCTACTCAAAGTTTAAAAGTTTATTAAAATAAGTTTGTATAAAAAGGGTTATATTAAGGAATTTATGGATGATAATAACCCCTGGGAATGAGGTGATCGCTACCAAGTTATTTCTAATTAGTTTTATGTTGTTAATTGTGTGACATACATGATTGTAAGCTGTTATTTTTTTTAAAGTCCCGCTGCTGGGTTTCTTGCTGATTCTTCCCTGGACAGAGGTTTTTTAAGTAACCAGTGGTAATCAAACAAAAGAGTGACTTTCAATAAGTATTATTTTTAATCTATATTGAATAAAAACGTTTCAGTTTCTGTTTCCACACAGGGGGATTTTACCATTGTAGTCACGCTTGGCAGGCGAGTTGGCAACCCAGATTTTCATTCTCAGTTGTTTTATTGAAGATGCTGCTGCTGCCTATTTACTGTTTCAGTTTAAATCTACCCTCTCTTACGACATTCACGGCATGATAAGGGGTTGTAGATAATCTTACGTCGCCACTATACAGCAAAGAATTTACAGGTGCAAGTGTAAATACCAACAGTCTCTCATAACGTAATTCCTACCTTTATAACCAACAATTCTGTATTTTCACTATTCTACGCCTTTTCACGGAGTCACGACCTCGCGAGGCGCGGCGTTGCGTCACAGCATTGCAACGTTATTAATCACCCGGCTTCCTACGGGTGATTTTTGGATCGCGACAACAGCTCCACCTACCGGGTCCAATTTCAAATATAAACCATCCAGGGACCCGCTCAAGCACACACAAAAAATTTCATCAGAATCGGTCAAGTCAGTTTGGAGTTTTAGCGAGTCTAACGGACAGCAATTGATCGTATATATAGATAGAGATCGCAGTATACTCGTATTCAAAGTCAAATATCAAACAGAAAAACAAAAGTAATAGATATTTTTATTTTGTATGAAAAATTTTAGTTGATTTTTAAGATTTTGTTTATAGAATAAGAACGACAAAGAAGCCCAGTACACCTGATGGCAAGTGGATGCTGTGTAGACGTCTACATTTATCCTCAATTAAGAATCAAAATGCAGATGCGTTGTCACCCCTGAGGACTGAGATGGAATGCCTCGTTTCCAGTAAAGAGGATTTTCGGTTCTCTACACTCACCATACGAAATACAGCAGCATTAAGCTGCTATTTTACACTGGTATTCTGTGAAAGCGTGGTCTTACTCCGGTCGAGCCGACCCATTCGTGCTGCAACCACAATATAGCTGCAGCATGGCTCTACCAGGTAAAAAACTTTTATGGTCTGATAGCTTTTTGGATATTTATAAATTAATCCTGTATTTGCATAAAGATATATTAGTAACTTAGTAACAATTATTTCAGCAAAATGATCTAATGTGTAATCTGTAATTAGCAAAATAACACTCAAAACGAAGAAAACTATTATCAAGTAATACCTATCAAATTTTCAAATGTAAATATCTGAACTAGCTTTTAGTGAGATGGATACTTTTTGCATAACACAATTGCGTAATTTAAAAAAATTGCGTTAAGACTTCGGACTATTACCCGGAACTAACAAAACAGATGAGGTTGACGGAGAGCCAACTTATTATTATATTATTATAACTGCGCCTTAAGAAATAATATTAGAGTTTATACTGTAAGATTTCATGATATCTCTAAAACATTTATTCGCATTTTATTGTTTAGAAAAAATTATTGCGTCACTTCATACGACCGAAAATCGGTCTGGGGACACTGGTCTGGAGGGTGCTCTTGGCGCATGATAGACATCAGTGATATCTACACACAAAGGACCTGCAGAAATCGCCAGAAGCCCACCAAGGGCCGACACTTTGCGAGTCATCGAATGGCTAAGCTCGAACTGACTCTTGCTGTAAGTGGCGATGTTATATTTTGTTAAACTGATCAGTTGAACTGACGTACATCCAAAAACTGACCGTGAGTGTGAAATCTTAAGTTGAAATTTGAAGCCAGTGAGTGGGGAAATCTTTTTGTCTTATATCCGTTTTAACTGATCAGATAAAGTTATCAGTTCAACTGATCAGTTTAACTGATCGTGTGTCTGTCGGTCATAACCGAAATTTTAAATGTTTATTAGGGAAATAATGATACACACTGTGGGTAAATAATCTTTATATATAAAAATTACGTGTCACGTTGTTTGTCCGCGATGGACTCCTAAACTACTGAACTGATTTCAATGAAATTTTGCACACTGTGTGTATTTTGGTCCAATTTGAGAGATAGGATAGTACTTATCCCGATAAATGACCCTCAAAATTTTTTATTGCGAATTTAAGGATTTTTATAGGAAGGGTCGTTGGAAAGGGCAGAACATCGTCTGCCTGGCGAGCTAGTAATAATTTTAAAAATATTATCCATGATCCATGATTGATACGTAAATAATTCAGAAACTGTATTTATTTGCAGAAAATGGCCTAAAGTGTCTTTCGAAATAAATAACTGTCGGTAGTAGGACTGCACGTCAGAAGTGATATAGTAATAGCTACTGGGAATAAGGTTATCCTCTCTCAGCCTCAGTACCTGACGTCTCACACTTTTGACACTGCTAACCGGTCGGTTTCCCGTGTAGTGGTGGGCAAGGATACCCACTACCCCATATATTACCGTGGGTGTCGTAAGAGGCGACAGAGGGCAACTAAGGCAGAAGATGGAGCATCTTTCTGGTAAAAGCAAAATAATAATAAAAAAGACTGCAGTTACCAACCCGCTCACCAAGCGTGGCAACTATGGCAATATTCCCCCTTGATAGTTACGAAGAGACGGCCCCAGTCCCCTGTGGCTTCGCTATTCCTGGCTACGGTGGCGACCATGGTAACAGCGAGGCAGGGGGAGCTCAGAAACTCCGGTGGAGGTTCGGTTTCCATCTGAGACGACTCTCGACTGACAAGAAGATCCTGGAGCTGAAAGAAGAGATAGACAAGTTACGTTGTCACTTACGACACCCACGGGACAATATAGGATAGTGGATATTATTACACTACCACTATACGATTACGTTAGTGCTGACTGTAAAAAAACTCTTACGACATGGCGTAATGTCGTATGTGCGATTGTGACTAAAGTACGTGAGGTTAATATGGTATTCCGGTTAATACAGTCACTTTCTTATAACTCAAAAACTAAAGCCTTGTTTGCATAGATGGCTCTGTGATACGATAGCTCTTCATCAGTCAATCAAATAATAAAGGGTCAAAAAGGCACTGCTTCATTGACGTCATTTTGACAGTCGACATTATAGTAAATATTTTAGTCCATTTTAGTATTGTGTAGTGTAGTTAGTTCTTTTTAAGTTGATTATTCGAAGTGTGCAAAGCCGTGATAGTCCCAATATATAAAGGAAAAGGATCACAGCAGGACTGTAAAAACTACCGTGGTATCAGCCTTCTTAGCATTGTGGGAAAACTTTATGCTAAGGTACTAATTGAAAGAGTTGTGAAAGAAACTGATGGAAAAATTTGGGATGTGCAAGCGGGATTTAGAAAGATAATGAGATGTACGGATCAGGTCTTTTCCATGCGCATGATAGCGGAGAAGTTATGGCCAAAAACCAAAAGTTTTTTGTGCGTTCATGGACTTGGAGAAGGCTTATGACAGAGTGGATAGGGATGTGTTATGGCAAACACCGAACTCAATTGGGTTGAGCGCTGGGTTGATACAGGCATTGAAGTCTCTGTATAGGGACTCTAGTGCTTGTGTCAGGATCAACGGGGCCTACTCGGACTGGTTTGGCATCCATAAAGGTGTCAGACAGGGCTGTGTGGCTTCCCCGTGGCTGTTCAACCTATTTATGGACAGTTGTTTGGAAAATTTGAAAGTAGAAGAATGCGGGTTAAGAATGGGTGAGTTAACCGTCAAATGCCTTTTGTACGCCGATGATCAAGTCATACTTGCGTCGTCGGCGGCCGAGTTGCAAATGATGGTTACATTAATGAAGAGGACATTAAAAGAAAAGGGAATGAAAGTGAACGCAAGTAAGACGAAAGTTATGGTTTTTGAAAGAGAGGAAAGTAAAACGATATGTGAAATAAGAATAGAAGGGGAGTTGGTCGAGCAAGTAGATGAGTTTGTGTATTTGGGATGTGTGTTTAGCAGGGATGGTAGATATGATAAGGATATAGAACGACGAGTGAATGCAGGAAATAGAGTGAATGGGGCTCTATACCCTATTGTGATAAGTCAGAATGTGTCCAAAAAGGCATGTAGGGCAATTCACAATACTGTGTTAGTACCTACTTTAATGTATGGTAGTGAAAGTTGGGTGTGGCAGAAGAAGCACGAGAGTAGAATAAATGCTGTAGAAATGCGGTCATTAAGGAGTATGTTAGGAATGAATCTGAATGACAGAGTGAGAAAGTGTTTGATAAGAGAAGAGTGTGGTTTGCAAGATGATGTTGTGACCAGGATTAAGAAAGGAATGCTTCGGTGGTTTGGTCATGTAGAAAGAATGAATGAGGAAAGAGTGACAAAGTAAATTTATGTTGCAGAGGTGAACGGCAGAGTCGGGAAGGGTCGCCCTAGGCGAAAGTTTATCGACCAAATTGGCGATATATTAAAAATGGGCCAAATCAAGAGTACCTTTAGCCGAAGAGCGTGTATGCGTAGGCATATGGATGTGGAGGAAGCGAGAGAGGTGTGTCAGGATCGTGCCAAATAGAAGTCCATAGTCTCTGCCTACCCCTCTGGGTGACAGGCGTGAGTGTACATATATTCGAAGTATTCCTAATTATCACCTAAGCTTGTTTGTTATTTTTTTCTTAGTATATTAATTACAGTATACGACTTCTTGTCTCTGTCCTCCTCCTAGTTTTGGTTTAATAGGGCGGCAAAGCTTAATGTGACCACATTACCCTCAAGTACCTTATGGCAAATTCTTCCCGTAATGGATGTCCCAAGTTCACCAAGGGAATGTTTACGAGTAGACGTAAAAGGAAGTACGTTTATTGGCATCGTCAGATAAAACTTTCTTATATATATATATGGAAGTATGTGATGGAGCAACGGTAGTAGCGTGCGGCTCGACCAAGGACTATGCTCACATAGAAAATCAGTATTAATTAGAAGCATAAGGCTTTTGAGCTTGTTGTGACCGTGGGTTTGTTAGTTATATTTATTGGTATAACATTTTTGTTACAATATGTTGCAGGGTATGGATAACGGTTGTATTACGAGTCCAAGCGCGTCGCTGGTGCCCCTGTCCCGCAGCGTTTCTCTGTACGCTCGTTTCATTGCTTGTGTGTGTACAGGGGATTTTTGCAATGTTGGTACTTCTTATTTCACATGTCATGGAAGTTATACAAAGTTGTTTACGATTCTGATTTTTCTAAAAACTCTTATTTAATTTTACATAATATTCTTTACTTTAAGTGAGCATTTCTTGTAAACCCATATACTCGTACCTATGTAATTGCATTCTCGGAAACGACTATAACGATTTGGATGAAATTTGATATTTAGTTAATGTTTTACTTTCCAAGTTTATCTAGATAGGTGTAATCTCTAAAAGCTATCGCTGGTTCTAAGTAGTAATTCTATTAATCGTTTGCCGCAAGTTAAACATGGTTTTATTTCTTAATTGCTAGTGTTCTTTAATAGATTATACTCTTTTTAACCTAATCTGTTCCAATCTATTTCGATCTGATCTGAATTGTTTCTAAGAATTTCTAGAAAAAAAAATTGTTGACTACCACCAATGCGAGCAATAAATTGTTTTAATGAACAAACAACTAAAGCGGATGGCAGATGCCACTAAACACATATATTTTTTTGTAATATTAAGTATAACACTCAATAATTGTTTTATTAAACGGAAGACAACATTTTATAATACGAATTCTTTTATTTTATTTTCTTTGCATCATTTTCATAGAATTAGATTAATTTACATAAAATTACATAAACATGGTAGATCCATGATGCAGTCATATCATGGCTGCAGCTCGAATAAGTCGGCTCAGCCGGGGAAAGACCACGATCTCACAGTATACCAGCGTGAAACAGTAGAATAATGCTACCTACTTTGTTTTGTAAATGTGAGTGTAGAGTACCGAAGGCCCATTTCACTGGTAAGGAAGCATTCCATGTTAGTCAGTCAGAAGACTGTTGTAGATGTCTTTGGACCACAACTGTAATTACTATCAGGTAGACTGTGTTCTCGTTCGTCACCCTTTTCAATCACCATTCTAGAAAAAAAAGAACAGATTTTTGTTATACATAATATATTGCGTATAAAAGTATATTATTGCGTAGTAGACCTTTAGCTTAAATCAGTTATTTGGGTTATGAATGCGTTGTGACTAATTATATTATTATAACATTTTTATTAATCGCGTTCTTGAAAGTCGCTTAACGGCTAAATCTCGGCCAAAAATCGAAAAGTTGGCATTCAAGTTTTTCTTACGAGTACTTTTGCTGACAAAGGGAGCGGGGAGGATTATTAAAAATATTACGTAAGATAAAAAAAATATAAAACAACTAGCTGGCCAGGCAGACGTTGTTCTGCCCTTAGCAGCGAACCTCTGTTCTATAAAAATACTTAAATTAGAAATAAAAAATACTGAGGGTCACTTATCGGGATAAAAACTATCATATCTCTCAAGTTGGACCAAACTGCACACAGTGTGCAAAATTTCATTGAAATCAGTTCAGTAGTTTAGGAGTCCATCGCGGACAAACAATGTGACACGTAATTTTTATATATAAAGATAAAAATGTTTTTAAAACCGTATTGTGAAGATGAGCTACCAATTGTTAATGATGTAGAAACTTGGATACGGAGTCCGTGGAAAATAAATGATTCTTAATTTTTTTATTTTATTAAAACTAATACTCTAATTTAAAAAAAAAATAATTCAGTATTTTAAATTTTAACATACTATTATATACGCGTAATTCGTAATACTTGAACGCCCCCTTAAGAGACCCAAACACTAAATCTTTCTCGAGACTCTCAATTGCGCCCACCACTGACCTCTATATATACAAGTACGCTGGACTGGTTACACCATACAAAATGCTTATGCCAATTTGAAGCGCCATCATTGTCCGTACCGGGAACTAAAATTGACATAATAATATGCCAAAGTCTAGATCGACAATATATATCGACATATACGACAATGTTTGACATCATTCCCATTCAATGTGACAATCCTATTCAATATGATTATGACAAATGCTCCATTCATTTTGTAGTATTCTATTACCGTTAAACATCATAGAAAATCAACTTCGCTAACTCGCCGAGTAAGAGGCGATAAGAGAGATGGGCAGAAACATCATCCTGAAACGGCTCTGTGGCGCAGTGGCTTAGCAATGAGTTGCAGCGGTGGGTAGCCGCAAATCTTTCTACGAGATGATCCATGCAGGAGGCCTATGTTCGGTAGTAAACTTTAGACAGGCTGTAAAGAATGATGAATGAACTCCAGGGAGAAGATAATTAAAATAATACTTTTCCGCCTCATTAGTAAATCAGAACATTAAATTATGGGTATTGCATTTAGGAAAGTCCATATCTTGCAGTGGACTATTTACAGGCCTCATCTTCGATGTTGATGCGATAAATTTTTTTTTTGATTGCTTGTATAAGTGCGACCGTGCAGCAATTACGTTTAGTGTATACAACACACACACACACACACACACACACACACACACACACACACATATATATATATATATATATATATATATATATATATATAGAATATTAAGCTACTGCGGGTACACAATTGAGGCAGTAGTCGCTAACAAACAGGTGAGTAGTAAACTTGTTTACACACTCTTCTGTAAAAAGTCTGCCATTAATTAACGGCTCCTTTGCGCAGTGGCAGGGCCACGGGTTCGAATCCCGCATGGAACAAGTCTTTGTATGCCCTACAGTAATTGTTTTGGGGCTGGATGTTTGGCCTTGTGAAATTTATAGATGAAAATCCTAATGTGAATCACGTTTTCTTTAAAGGAGAATTGTTAGTTTAACACACAAACTTTAAAAAAGCAACTAAAAGCAAAAAAAAAACCGGCCGAGTGCGAGTCGGACTCGCGTACCGAAGGTTCCGAACAAATCCGTAGGTATATAAGTTTAAAATTATTAAAAATATTTTTATTATATGATGTAACTGAAAATGTATGCTTTTCGCAACTCTTCCTTTATCTGTGCTATAATACGTTGCTTCGTACCAAATTTTAAGATTTTGATTTCACGGGAAGTACCCTGTAGGTTTTGATTCGATTGCGAATGCCGAAAATTTGCGGCATAAACGGCTGTATCTTTTGATTGCGTTGGCTTAGGAGTTTGATTTTTTCACAGCTCTAAGGGATAGTAGAGTATTTGATATGAATTTCAGGTTGATACCTCCACGCGTTCCGGAGAAAGAGAGTCTTGATAGACAGACAGACGGACAACAAAGTGATCCTATAAGGGTTCCGTTTTTTCCTTTTGAGGTACGGATCCCTAAATATATCCGAAAGCTTCTTAAAAACATTTTAGCTTGAACTGTGACAGTCAAACTTAAGAAAATGTATTTGCTTTTACTGTATAGTATAACTAAGAAACCCATAGTCCTAACGAACCCTTGGCCATTTTTATTTTAAAACGGATTAACTTATCTATCTTTACTATATACCTTTTTATGGTTATTTAGGGTTATTATAATATCAAAAAATATAATAATGAAATAAACTATTGGTAAATCCAATAGCGCATTAAAAAAATTACATATAACATGATTATACCAAATTTTTTAAAGTAGTTTAAATACACACGAGTTTTCACTAATAACCTTATTCTATACTTCCAATTTTCCGATAACTTTATGTCAAACTGCAATTTAAAAAATCCAAAAATGCACAACTCATAATGCTCATAATATGATAATTTAAAAAATGTAAATTGTAGTACTATTCGTTAAAGAGTTCCAGTAGTAGTCACCGAAGTACACTTTCAAGCCATTCCGTCAAGTCCGGATGTAAGGTCTATTCATAACTAACAAAACGAGCCCAAACTTGGCACATCTAGTTCTCCTCGTCGAGGAGTACCAGTAGCAGTCTTCAAAGTCGGTCGGTAGCGGCCATATTATATCTATTATAAATTAAATATACTCATTTTGAAAATAAACTACATTGTAATTTAATATAGTTCAATAATTGCAAAATATATAGGATACGAGTACCACTAACAGAGGGGCATAAATGAAAAATGTAATGAGAGAGTAAGAACTATTTAGGAGTAATCAAATACAACGACTTTTTTTTTGTATAAAAACTTCCGCGCGCGGGTTTTTAACCTTGCGCCCCTAGGCACGTGCCTAGTTTTCCTTAAGGATAATCCGCCACTGTTCGGAGGTAAGGTCTCATCATAACAAAATAAAACGAATCAAAACTCAGCACACCCATTACTATTACTACTCTTCGAGGAGTTCCTGTAGCATTCACCGAAGTACACCTTCAAGTCGGGGTAAGGTCTAGTTCTACTAGTCGAGGAGTGCCAGTAGCAGATATCGAAGTACACCTTCAAGTCTCTCACCTTGTGTGTATAAATCCTGCGTACTTTACGCGCTTACCTGTTTGCGTCATTCTCCGATTGGTCGGGTACTCCGTAGCGAGAAACACCCCAAACCAAACATTCACGGAAATGTATGTACATAAGTGTTGCAGGTTTGAAAACAGCCTTATAAATATTTATGTAATAGCGTCAGATAAGTCGAATGAATTTGTTTTGTTACGTGGGCTTGTAAAATACATAAGGTCTCATCATAACATAACGAGCACAATCTCAGCACACCTAGTGCTACTCGTCGAGGAGTTCCAGTAGCAGAGTGTTCTCCAAATTAATGGAGTCTATTATAAACTGCCAGCTCATAAACAGCCTTGAGGATTACCAGCTGATTAGTGACCGTCAATACGGTTTTCGTCGTGGTCGATCAGCTGGTGATCTTCTGGCCTATCTGACTCATAAATGGACGGAGACAGTAGCGTCCAAGGGGGAGACATTGGCCGTTAGTTTGGACATAGCGAAGGCCTTCGATCGGGTGTGGCACAAAGCGATTCTTTCGAAGCTCCCTTCCTATGGGCTTCCCGAGAAATTGTGCTATTGGATCACTAATTTTCTTGCTGATCGGAGCATCAAGGTTGTAGGAGACGTTGCATGCTCTGATTACAAGCCTACTAACGCTGGTGTTCCACAAGGCTGCGTGCTATCACCAACGCTGTTTCTTTTGCATATCAATGATATGTTGCAAGCTGGTAACATTCATTGCTATGCGGATGATAGCACTGGTTATGGTCTTTACACCGGTCGTGCCAATATTTCTCGGGAAAACGTTGCTGAGTACCGGAACAAAC